AAGTGTTCTGGGATACCCATTCTTCTCAGAGTCAGCCACAGTCTGTTATGATCCACACAGTCAATTAGATACTTGGTGAAAACAGGGCATACTAGAATACTGTCTACTTGTGTTTTATTGACTAAGCAAAGGCATTTGACTGTGTGGATCACATCAAACTATGGCTAACATTGAGAATAATGGGAATTCTAGAGCACTTAATTAGGATTATATGAAACCTAGACCAAGAAGATATTGTCTGAATAGAGAAAAGGAACACTAAATCAGGGTTATAGTATTTCTCCCTATCTATTTAATACATTTGCTGAGCAAATCATTTGAGAAGCTGGACTCTATTAAGAAGAATGCAGTGTCAGAATCTGAGGAAGAATCATCAACAATTTATATTACACAGATGACACAACCCTCCTTGCTGAAAGTGAGGAAGACTTAACACACGTGCTGCATAAAATAGAGGAATACAGCCTTCAATATGGATTACATCTCAACCTCAAAAAGACAAAAGTGGTAAGAACTACTAGACCAATAAGCAACAGCATGATGGATGGAGAAAAGATCGAAATTATTAACAATTTCCTCTTACTTAGATCTACAATCATTAACTTTTATGTAGCTGTCAGGAGATCAGTGAATGTATTGCATCGAGTCAGTCCACTGTCAGAGACCTCTCCAAATTACCAATGAGAAACGATGTCAGTCTGAAGACTAAGGTGCATGTGATTCAAACTATGGTCTTTCAAATCACTTGCTAGACATCTGAAAGCTTGACAATGGATAAGGATGACAGAAAAAGAATGTCTTTGAGCATCAATGGCTTTGAGTTGTGATGTTGAAGAAGAGTACTGAATATTCTAAGGACTGCCTAAAGAACAAACATATGTCTCAAAAAAAAGTGCAGCCAGAGTGCTTCTTGGAGGCAAAGATGGCAAAGCTTCATCTTACATACTTAGAGCACGTTACTAGGAGAAGCAAGGAGACTTGGGAAGGGCAATAGGGTTGGAAAGGAGGAGCCGAAGAGAGGAAGATCCTCAACAAGATGGATTGAAACAGTGACTACAGCAATGGGCTCAAGTATATCAGAGGTGATAAGGGTGGCATAGATAAGGACAAGTCCAAATCTGTGGCTCACAGGGTCACTATGATTGGTACTCTACGTGAAGGTACCTAACAGCAACACTTACATGCTCCATATTGGAATTTATTATTATCAAATAATATTACTCCACCTTACAAACACTGGGCACGTGTTCGAGAGGGACTGGTCCTTGGAGAAGGACATCATGCTCTGAAAGGTGGAGGGAAAGCGCAGGAGAGGAAGACCCCGTTTGAGATGGATTGATAGGGCAATACGTGTAGGTGTGTCGGAGTGAGAGAGACTGGCTCAGGACAGGACAGGCTTCAGAGCTGCAGGACATAGGGTTGCTATGAGTTGCAGGCCACTCGATGGCACATAACAACAAA